CATATTTTTTAAATAAATAATTATATTTATCTTTTACTTTCGTATCGAGCACTATTTTTTTAAAATAATAACAAAAATACTAAAGAACTTTGGATTATTTACCTAACGAGTTCTTTCCTATTTTCTATATATTTTTCACACACACACACACACATATATATATATATATATATATATATATATTAGATAGAACAGATGGAGAATATCTGAACGTTTTAGGTATTTTCTCGAGGTGGCGAATTGGTCGTTTTATTTCAAGTGGACATTCGTGATTTCTCAGTTTCAGCAACTTTGTAAATATCTCCGTCCTCTTCGTACTTTGCTCATTCACGAATGTTCTGCAGGTCTTCAAAACTCTTCAATTTTTTTATTTTTAACGGACAATGATGGAATTTCTTTCATGGTTCTTTTAATACCGTTGTTCAATTGGTTGCTCGTCCATTGTCAATGGATGTTATTCTTCCATTTGGTATTGATGACAAAAACCATTTCTGTAAGGTTTCCTCTGTTTCCAACGTTATGAACTTGTGCTGAATCTGATATTAATGTCAAGTCCTTCTTTGATTTGGTTTCTTGAAGACACCATCCAATCCAGCATTATTACTTGTTTTTTTTTTATTACTATTAGTATTAAACTTTTATGAAAATATTAGGTTATAATTAAAATTACCAACATTATCATGAGAGCTGTTTGACGACACGTTGCAAATCATTTTATTTCTCATCCTCAGCAACTTTGTAAATATCTCTTATCATTCCTATCCAAACCTTCCTGTCTTACAAGTTCTTCAAAATACATTTTTACGGGGAATTATGTAATTTTCTTCATAGTTCTCTTTCGTTTCTCTTTGTTCAGTGTGTATACTATGGTTGTTCATCAATTATCTCTGGGTGATAGTCTTTATTTGTTACTGATGACAAAACCATTTCTATAATATTTACTGTCTGTTTCTAAAGCTATTAACTCATGCTGTCTGGCCCCGATAGTAATTTCAATTCCTTGCTTAGTTTTGGTTTCTTGGAGACACCATATATCAGTATTATCACTCGATATTACCTTAATTCAAAAGGAGCCAACGTTAAAAAAATGCATAAAATATTATATTTTTGCAATTTTAAATGTGCAACAACGTAAATACGTTTATTTATCTAATTTACTGTCTTTGTCTTATTTATTTTTAGAATTTAGTAAAATTTAAGCTAAATGCGTGACCTCTCCGAGTTCGAAAAAGAGCAAATTGTTAGAGCTCGCATGGCAGGAGCCTCGATCACTAAGGTTGCTGAACTGTTTGGTTTTTCAAGAGCTACCATATCAAGAACATTGATGCAATTCGAGAAACAGGGCAAGACCTCTAGCAACCGTAGCAATTCAGGCCGGACTTGCAAACTTACTGACAAGGACTGACGTGCATTGAAACGCAATGTGGGAAAAAATCATCGGACAAATGCGGCCAAAGTAACCGCTGAGTTGAATGACCATCTGAATAGTTCTGTTTCTACTAAAACTGTTCACCGTGAGCTCTATGAGGCTGCATATCATGGAAGAGCCGCTGTGAGGAAACCTCTTCTTTCCACTCGCAACATTCAAAAGAGGTTGAAGTGGTGCAGAGATCACAATGCTTGGTCTAGTGGTTAAGAATTGGTATTAAGAGCCTGAAAGTGAGCTAGAATACATGGGGTGGCCTCCCCAATCTCAAGATATCAATATTATTGAACATTTTGGAGCAACAAGTTAGGAGCCGCTATCCTCCACCGTCGTGTCGTAAAGAGCTGGAAAAGGTTTTAATGAAAGAATGACTGAAAATTCCTCTGGATGAAGTCAGGAAGCTGTATGATTCCATTCCCAGACGTATTAAAGCTGTCTGCGAGGCTAAAGGAGGACCAACTCCATATTAAATAAATTTTCTTTGAATTTAGCAAGTGTTCCAATTATTCTTTCCAACCCCTGTATATTTTAAAAAAAAATATTACCAACAATAAAATTTTGTCGGCATTAAATGACCCATTCAGGTGGATATGCCGTAAAATCAAAATAAACCAAACGAAACAAAAAAGTACTGTTGGTTTTCTAATCAATGTTTTTTTTTACAAGGAATGGTAGAAGTTTATAACGTATACAATGTAGCTTCGTCAGTTTCACTTATTTCTCAAGAGTGATCAAGTATGAAGGTGTCATCTACGTACCTTAACAATAGAGTTGGCTTAGATTCTAATGCCATTTTCTCAAAGTATTCCATATATATATTAGCTATTGCTGGTGATAATGGCGAGCCCATTGCTAAACCCTCGCATATGAATTTTTTGAAATTGTTTCTAAATCTTTGATTGTCTTGCAGTCATTCCGCCTCACCTGATATCCACTTCCGCCGGACCTATGAGAAGTTTGTAACGTATACAATGTAGTTTAGTCAGTTTCATTTATTTCTCAAGAGTGATCAAGTATTCCAAAAGCTTTCCGAAATATATCTATTTTAACAATAAATTATCCGTTGGAATTTTTTATTCTTTTTAATGATAGAAGACCATTGATGTCGTTACTCAATGTGTATATTATTGTTCGATAGATTCATTTCCCTGAACATTAATTTCCTTCTATGCATTTTAAGACTTATAACTTAAGTCTTATCTTCAAATTCCTGTCTGTTTCCAAAGCTATTAAATATAGTAAATCTGTCTTATCAGTCCTTCCCAAATCTCTGTGTCTTGTGTTAACTCACGAAATGGTTACAGGCTTTCGAATCACTTCAACGTTTTTACGGGCAATGATCGAATTTTTTAAATAGTTATCTGCTGATGTATGCCCTTGTTCAATTTGTATACTATGTGTCGTAACCCAAGGAAGGTTACTGAATGGAATAATTACACGAAGGTTGGTAATGAACGATAATACTTAGGACAAGAACAACACATATAAGATTCGACAGTTGCTGGTTTACTAATCAAAGTTTTATTTTAGAAGGAATGATAGAAGTCCACTGATATCGTTACTTAATGTGTATACTATTGCCGTTCGATATATTCATTTCCTTATGTATTTCAAGATTGATACCTTAAGTCATATCTTCATATTCCTCCTGATTTGTCTTGAAATTAAAAACCCTTATTCTTTCTGAGACTTTTCATTGTCTATAGATGGTATTCGGCCACTTGTCATAATATTAACTGTTTCCATAGTTATTAACTTGTGTTGTCTAAATCCGATATCGACATCAAGTCCTTTGATTTCAATTTCTTGGAGACAATCTTATAACAATCAACGTGCCAAATCAATAATACTTGTTTTTCTTTTTTTCACAAATCCTCCTAATGGTAAAATATTTCCATGCAACTGGAGGCGTTTACAAAGTTTTCAATTTTAAAAAACGGACATTTTTTTGTGAATTTAACGAACACTCGTTGCCACTTTTGTGATGTCAACGGATGCTCGTAGTCACTTTCGTTGTAGCAGAGACTTTGTAATCGCAGATACAACTATAGTAACGCCGTTGAACAATACTGGTGTCAGACGCCTTCGAATATCATTCGCACTAATATTACTTGCTCGATAATACTCGCTCGAATAGTAACCACCGAATGGTAATCCGTGTTGCGATCAGTATAGAGAATAACGTAGAGAAGTGAATCGCGAACCGTACAGTAATAGAGGATAGACTAGAAATAACGATCGGAATAGTATAGAGGAGAAATAGCAATCACGCCACTTCCCACATATATACATTTCCTATATGGTCACGTGGTCTACTTGATTCAATAATGAGATCGCCTGTGTTTGCTCCCTGGCGATCTATGTTCAAACTCAAGTGTCGTCAGCGATAATTATTCCTATATAACACATTTTAAAAATATATATAAATATATGAAAAAATGTAAAACAAAAGGCGGAAGAAAAATGATAAGAAAAAAAGAGCAAAGAGCATTTAGATTACTATCTAAGAATGCTTAAAACCATTTATATTAAGCCCAAGCAGCCTTCCCTCGGAAAGCAGAAATAATGATTGCTGGATCTAAATGTAATATATCTGTGATCTATACTGATGATTACCAGGTAGTCATTTTCTTTTTCCCATTTTAAATCATTGTGCACATACTTTTGTCTGTGGTTGAGGTTTGAAGAGTGAGGATTGATAACCGGTTAGCTCTTTTTTGTTTTTTGATCCACCAGTTTTACGATGACTATTATTTTATTCTCCTTCCTTTGTCTTTGTTATATATTTATTGTATGTATTTATATATACCTGTCTATATTTCTGAAATGAGGTATTGTAACTATTTGCACTATTTACATTGTTCGGACTGTTGTCTTCATCGTTGTTATCATATTCACGACGTTTCAGCCACTGTACACTCCGGCCTTCTTCAGGTTTTGTCAATGTTTCTGAAATGTGGTATTGTAATTATTTACACTATTTACATTGTTCGGAGTGTTGTCCTCATCTCCGTTACCATCTTCCCGACATTTCGGCCGTTGTACGCTCCGGCCTTCTTCATGTGATTGGAATTTCGAAATGAACCCTGTATTTCCTCCTCAAGGACACACGGCCCATAAAAATGTTGTGAGTTCAATTCCTGGCTACTGCAGAGGTGAACAAAAACTTGTGGAGTTGAGTTAAAAGGAGATAACGAAGATACACGGAAAAGACATGGCACGTGGAACTAGAACAATCTACCCTAGTGGATATAAAGTGAAATAAAGGGTTCAGTTTGAAAGTCCAATCACCTGCAGAAGACCGGAGCGGACAACGGCCGAAACGTTCTGAATATGGCAATGGAGTTGAAGACCACAGTCATAACAATGTAAATAGTGTAAATGATTTATATATTTTTTTTAAATATTCGCTTTTCCGCTTCCAACAGATTATCATTATTAAAGTTTTAAATAAGCTGTCAACTTTTATACGGATGACAAGTCTAGAAGGACCTCTGATATATCGTGGTCTTCTGTTAGTAAAAATAAAGAGCGTACATCAATCGGCATCTTGCTAGGTCTATCGACGTGTTTCACGTCACCTGGTATTCCTTCGCGGTCACCGGTCTCAGTACTGACGAGGCTCAACGTTGCTTAACTTGGGTGATAGTTCGAGAACCGGTGTTTCAACATGATATGGCCGCAAGCCGGTGGATCCTCAGACGCTAATATCGCTAATATAAACAATTCAAAAAGGGCATGAATTAGACGGATTATGTGAACATTGTTCGGAAACATTTATTCGAATTGTAAATTGTGTCTATATTTCTGAGATGAGGTATTATGTACACTATTTACATTATTCAGACTATTGTCCTCATCTTTGTCGCCATATTTATTACAATGTTTCGGCCCTTCAGTATCTGTCGATATTTCTGAGATGAGGTATTATGTACACTATTTACATTATTCGGACTATTGTCCTCATCTTTGTTGCCATATTTATTACAACGTTTCTGCCCTTCAGTATCTGTCGATATTTCTGAGATGATGTATTATGTACACTATTTACATTATTCAGACTATTGTCCTCATCTTTGTGCCATATTTATTACAACGTTTCGGCCCTTCAGTATCTGACGATATTTCTGAGATGAGGTATTATGTACACTATTTACATTATTCAGACTATTGTCCTCATCTTTGCCGCCATATTTATTACAATGTTTCGGCCCTTCAGTATCTGTCGATATTTCTGAGATGAGGTATTATGTACACTATTTACATTATTCAGACTATTGTCCTCATCTTTGCCGCCATATTTATTACAATGTTTCGGCCCTTCAGTATCTGTCGATATTTCTGAGATGAGGTATTATGTACACTATTTACATTATTCGGACTATTGTCCTCATCTTTGTTGCCATATTTATTACAACGTTTCGGCCTTTCAGTATCTGTCGATATTTCTGAGATGAGGTATTATGTACACTATTTACATTATTCGGACTATTGTCCTCATCTTTGTTGCCATATTTATTACAACGTTTCGGCCTTTCAGTATCTGTCGATATTTCTGAGATGAGGTATTATGTACACTATTTACATTATTCGGACTATTGTCCTCATCTTTGTTGCCATATTTATTACAACGTTTCGGCCCTTCAGTATCTGTCGATATTTCTGAGATGAGGTATTATGTACACTATTTACATTATTCGGACTATTGTCCTCATCTTTGCCGCCATATTTATTACAACGTTTCGGCCTTTCAGTATCTGTCGATATTTCTGAGATGAGGTATTATGTACACTATTTACATTATTCGGACTATTGTCCTCATCTTTGTTGCCATATTTATTACAACGTTTCGGCCTTTCAGTATCTGTCGATATTTCTGAGATGAGGTATTATGTACACTATTTACATTATTCGGACTATTGTCCTCATCTTTGTTGCCATATTTATTACAACGTTTCGGCCTTTCAGTATCTATCTATATTTCTAAATTGAGGTTTTATGTACACTATTTACATTATTCGGAGTATTGTCCTCATCTTTTGTTGCCATATTTATTACAATGTTTCGGCCTTTCAGTATCTGTCGATATTTCTGAGATGAGGTATTATGTACACTATTTACATTATTCGGACTATTGTCCTCATCTTTGTTGCCATATTTATTACAAAGTTTCGGCCCTTCAGTATATGTCGATATTTCTGAGATGAGGTATTATGTACACTATTTACATTATTCGGACTATTGTCCTCATCTTTGTTGCCATATTTATTACAACGTTTCGGCCTTTCAGTATCTGTCGATATTTCTGAGATGAGGTATTATGTACACTATTTACATTATTCGGACTATTGTCCTCATCTTTGTTGCCATATTTATTACAACGTTTCGGCCCTTCAGTATCTGTCGATATTTCTGAGATGAGGTATTATGTACACTATTTACATTATTCGGACTATTGTCATCATCTTTGTTGCCATATTTATTACAACGTTTCGGCCCTTCAGTATCTGTCGATATTTCTGAGATGAGGTATTATGTATACTATTTACATTATTCGGACTATTGTCCTCATCTTTGTTGCCATATTTATTACAACGTTTCGGCCCTTCAGTATCTGTCGATATTTCTGAGATGATGTATTATGTACACTCTTTACATTCTTCAGACTATTGTCCTCATCTTTGTCAGCATATATATTCCAACGTTTCGGCCGTTGTACGCCCCGGCCTTCGTCAGGTAGTTGGAAAGACGAACTGTGTACATAATACCTCATTTCAGAAATATAAACAGATATTTAAGACATGCTTGTTAACCATTACATCAAGTCAAAGTGCCCAAGCGATATTGAGTATGATTTTCATCTTTTGTGTTATGTTGGAATTGGAGATGCTGCACGTGTATCTTTTGCCAATTAAATGTTTTAATTTTAATTTGGAATGTCAAACTGAACCCTTTATTTCGCTCGCTGGGGTAGACTGTTCTAGTTTCACGTGCCATGTTTAAAGGATATGAGGTATCAGTTATCTCCTGTTAATTCCCCTCTCCAAGTTCTCCACTGCCTTCACCGAGTATTGAACTCACACCCTTGACAGGACACAAAGAGTGTGAATTCAAGGCATAAGCGATCATGGCTCTCCACATCTTCTTAGCAGCCCCCCGCCTTTGCTAGGCACCCCCGTTCCGCTATTCATTTACACAAGCTCTTCAGTTAGTGGTTCGCTGCCTTCCCCCTTCTCTTTTGCCCTCAATATGCCCTCTGAGTGTTAAATCTTCCTAGCCTTCCTTCCTCATTATGTGTCTAAGGAATTTCAGCTATTAGAAGTGTTCTTTCTGTTGCCATTTTCTTAAAGACTTTCTTTTTACTTACTCATTACGGCCATGGAATTTTCAGTATCTTTTTTTAGAACCACATTTCAGCTGCCTCTAGTTTTTCTCCGTATCCGTGTGGAAATTGTCCACCATTCACTGCCATATAAGAGGAGGGATAACACATAGCAATCCAGCAAATTTTTCTTGGTTTCTAACGATTTTTTTTCCGTTTCTCAATAACATATTCAGCTTCTTTTTCTGGTTCAATGAATGTTCGATTGACATTACAAATCCAGTATCTCTACTTCAACTAAAGAACTTAACCTCGAACATGCGCAGTTGGAGTCAGCATGGTCATGGGTGAATTTATTTTTCGTGAAAATAAAGACAAGGCTTTCTTTGCGAATTCCTCAGTTTCTAACATTTAATTTACAAGTTTCATCTGAAATAAGTTCGGTCAGGTTAAATTGGTTAGGTTTGTTTTCCGACATGTCAACTAATGTTGGGTTATTTACGTTATGTTTTACGAGACACCTAGTGAGGATCGAACTCACTTCTCTGTAGTTACGGTCAACCAGACTAGCCTTGATAACTATTGAGTAATTATAAAGGCTAAGTTCGTTGGGTGGATTTTCCGACATGTCAATCAATGTAGGGTTATTTATACTATGTTTTATGAAACCCGTAGTGAGGATCGAACTCATTTCTCAGTAGTCATGGCCAGCCAGACTAAACTTCCTAATTATTGTGTAATTATAAAGGATAACTACGGTGGGTTGATTTTATGACATGTCTGCCCCTGTTGGATAATTTAATGCTGTATGTTGTATGGTGCACCTCGTGAGGATCGAACTCATTACTCAGTTTTTAGATTAACCTCATTAACAATTACACCATCCTGAAACGCCTACATGAAATAAAGCAATTATTTCTACAACAGACGAAACTAAACAAAAGGCTCATTCGAAATTCTCAGTTTTAAATGAAGTATTGCTGCGTTAACATATCATGCTTAATATATATATATATATATATATATATATATATAAGTTATGAAGAACTTCCCTCTCCCTCTTCTTTTCTCCCTTCTCCGCTCCCATTTCAATATATCACTTCCGTTAAGTTAACCGTCTAAATAGGTCAAGGTCTGGCTGGTCACTCCCCCCTCACAATACTAAGTATGCTTGAGAGAGATATGAAATTAATCCCTCCCTATACTCTACCATGTCTCTTTAACTATCCCTTTCACACTCTCTGTTAAATTACAAAAACTTACACTACCCATCAATTTTGATTTCATTTTTCGTTTCATTTCATTTTTGGAAGTGCTATCTGATGATCCGGCGTCTTTTAAAAGGGCCCTGGTGAAATAAATTATTATAATGGTACCTTAAAGTGGTCTGTTTTTCTTTTATATATATATATATATATATATATATATATATATATATATATATATATATATATATATATATGTATGTATGTATGCATATATATAACGGATGTTCTAATAACTTGGACCGATTTTAAATACGAATTAAGTTTAAACGTTTAATTATTTTTTCTTTCAGATTTGGCGAACATTTGGGACATATTATTTTTCACACATAATTGCCATAACTTAAATAACATGATCCAATAGAGAAATAAATAAATATTCACCAATAATATTGATTTATTTACTGCTGACATTGATTCCTTTTAATGAAACACTCTTTTATATATATATATATATATATATATATATATATATATATATATATATATATATTTGTGTGTGTGTCTGTTTGTCTGTGTGTGTCTGTCATGGACATATTCAGGCATCTTTTTCTTAATATTGTAATTAAACGGATTGAGAAAGACGCTGAAGCTTTTCATATTCTTTTTATTTTCCCAAGTACTTTTCAACCTCATCCAAGATCATCTTCAGGAGTGAATTGCTAAGTCAAAGAATTAATGCAAATAAAATGAATTTTTGTGCATGGGCATGAACGCGTTCTGTTAATTCAAAAAAAAATTACCGCTATGTAAGAGAGGTGACTTAATATATATTGCAAAAATCTTTTCTAAAAATTACAATTTACGTGTTTTAAAACATTTTGTTATAATTGCAATTTTTTTCAAAAATTACAATTTAGATATTTTAAAACCTTGCCGCTACAGACATTTTAAAAATGTTGTTGCTGTACTTATAATTAATTTCATTTAGTGTTAGTCGTAATTTTTTATATTGTGGGCTTACAGAATTTGAAGTTATTTTTTTTTTAATATGATTATATTTGGATTATATATATATATATATATATATATATATATATATATATATAAGCAAATATATGGATAATACTAGACCCGGCTCCTTTAATATTTCCCCTTT